AAGAGCGGCTCATCATCGAAGGTAACCCAATTTGCTGGATTTGTGGAACACATCCTGCAGGAGCAACTTGAATCACTTGCACACGTATCACCCGCAAACCATCTATTAAGAAAGAACAGACATGATCAGAAAAAAATGCTCTTGATAGACAAAACAAAGAAACATGATCCTTATAATACTCAAACCACATGGGGCTTGCAATTTGCATGTGATTTACAAATCTGACCTACTTTGGGTTTTACACGTATCATGAGACAACCATGTAGAAAACAGTGAGGCCACCCCAAAGTCCTCACGGCTGTGCCAGACTAGCGGTGTTCAGGACTGCATGCACTGTGTTTTCCACCACACAGTCTCCCAGGAGCTTGTGATACATGCAAGACAGACGAGTCCACACTCAGTCTCACCAGCACGTGAGGTCCCACCACCGCTACACAAGGTTTTACTGAAAATGATGCAGGCGGTTCCAAAAATGAATTCAAGGTGGGAAAAACATCTGCTTTTTCTGCTCCTCCAACGCTGACTTACAGACTGTAGCCAGGTCAGAGTAGCAAAGTTAGAGGGGGAAAAAAAAAGAGAGACTTATAAACAAGTGAGAGAGCTTGTTCTGCCTAAGAACAAGCAGAATATCCCTCTTGAAGGGTAGCTTCCAAGCACTCACCATAAACTAAAAGCTGGGGGCCAAGGACAACTAACAACACATGCACCGGATTGGCTGGCAGCCTGGAAAAAAAAAATGGAGTTCTTTCAAATCAATTAATAAATTCCACTTCATCAAACAAAACAGTTTTGGTAGACGGCACTGCTGGCTGGCCTCCGAGCAGAGCTGCAAGCAGTAAACAACTCCTCTTGGCCCTGAGGTTTGAAGTCAACGCACTGAAAGCTAAGTGTGCGCTGCCTCCTTGGCAGGATATCGTCCCCTCCAAGCTTTTCCTTCCTGCTGCCCACAGGTGATGAAGCAGCAAAAACTAAACAGCAAACGATGGCAGAGGAATGGAGCATGATGCAGCCCAGGGCTCACAGACGCATCGCTGGTCTGGGAAAGAAGCCTCGGGGCTTATTTGCCCGAAAGCGCAGGGAGGGCAGAGCTGGTCGCGCACAGGCGGCCACACGCGCACCCGGGTTGCATAGGGTTGGCCTAGGATGACCTGAATCCTCCTCTCCCCATGCACAAGCAGCCATGGTGAGGCCGCATATACTAACTGCATGGCAAGGGCACCCACCTTACAGCACATAATCCCGTAGGCACCAAAGCCACCCACTCCTCATCCAGAAACATTCAGAGAACAGCTCGTTTCTGCCGATGACAAAGTTCAGCCAAGTGAAGTCTTAACGCTGCATTACAGGTCGTTATTTTTAAAATTTCACCACTATTTCTTGGCCAGTTTATGGCTTTTAGGAAAATACCACGAGCTGAGACACAATGTGCTCACTTCACTGCTGAGCAAACAAGGGCCTGCGCTGCAGACACTTCAGTCCTTCATTATTTTTTGAACCTGCGACCTTTTTATGCAGTGAAAATATTTGCGCTATGTGAGCTATTTTACAGGAATTTTCTCTCCCCTTTTAAGCAGCGAGAGAAGGCAAGCGGACAAGTCACTGCTGCACAACTCAAGCTAAGGCAACTCTTGGCGTGTCCTTCACCTACACGATCACTTCATCAAAATAAAGCGATGGAAAGAAAAGCACAGTTCTTCGCTCTACTATTTTGTCACAACTTTTTCCGCCCTGTGCTTGCAGCACTGCTCAGCGTGCAGCAAATCAAGGAGGGAAGTAAATACGAACATTGCTTACTGTATTCTTGACCATAAAGAATGCATTTTGCATCATAGTCCCCATTCTCTCATTAAAACTCAACTCTTCTGTGTCCTTTATTACTTCCAGATGTTGGGGGGGGTACCTCTGCTTCTCCTGAATGGGATGTTACAAATTGTTTTGCAGATATTTTTGTTGTAAAATACAAAAATGCTTGAAAGTTACCTGCCAAATACTTGACTTCAGTCAATAAAAGTCCAAGAAGAAAAACACTTTTGCACGTGCATCTCAGAGCTGCAGTCACAATACCATTTCTGTCAAAGACTGTAGCTTTCACCTTTTATTATTTTCCAGAAATGTATTTTTCAAAAAAAAATGATATTGATAAAAATAAAGGAGACACACATGTTACACCCAAGAATCAAGTGTTAAAATTTACAGCAGTGCTACTGCTATTGCTAACGGATCTCCAGAAACAAGCACTGGGAAAAGAAAAAAAAAAGCAAGTGTATCTTTTTAAACTATTTACAGAATGTAATGTGATAAACAGGAAACATAACTTCTTGCATATTATGGGTACTGGTAGTGCCGTCCATCAATATTTAAAAGAAAGCGTTTATGGTCTTATGTTACATTATGTAGTTTTTCTCTGATGCCTTTACATCTGCAGAACAAATTAGGATCTTATCTCAGGATCTTCCTGCATGGCAAGTGCTTCAACATTCCTTCTCAAGAGTTAGGATAGTCTTCCTTTAAATGGCAGCAAAGTAGAATTTTATTTTTAAAATACATCTGGTTCAACTCTCAGGAAGCCACCATGGGACCCATATGAACATAACCCTTGTGTTTTAAGTAACAGGAAAACAATACAAGATGCCATGGGTCGCTATTACAACATATGTTATGCAGCTCATAACATTTAGATTGGAAGCATGTGTGGCATCTCATTCTGCAATGTGACAGGAAATACCATTTTTAGAATATTAACATTACAAACGAAGACGCTGGCAGAAATAACAGTTGATCTTAAATGCATCACTACTGAACCCGAAAGCTGGAACTCAGCTCAGCTCGTCCCGTTGTGCAGCCAACAGCCTCCCCTTGCCCAGCGCAGCGCCGTGGGGAGCAGCCTTCCTGTCCCGCCACCCACAGACCGTCCGGGCTGCGGCTGCTACTGCCCCCGTCGGCACTTCTAAATCCCAGGTGAAACCTGTGCGTGGGACAATGCTCAGCACCGCTGCCCCTTGGGGGACATTCCCACATGGACACCAGGAACAGCAAGCGCCTTCCCGCTCTGAGGTGCCGCCTTGAGCAGTCTGAGGTGCCGCCTTGAGCAGCCCCACGGGCCCGGTGCCCTCTGCCACACAAGCGACACTGTTTTCTTATATCTCTTAACACTGAAGAGGAGCAGGGTTGGCTAGTGGAAATGGGCTGCCTGGGAGCGACAGGGACGCAGCTTTCTCCTGCCAAGCAGGCAGCAAGGGCATGTAACGCTTCACAGACCATGCTCATCCTCCAGGACACAGAGGAAGGCAGGATTTCATAAATACACTCATTTTTGTTGCTCCCGAGACCACTGCAGCCTCAGCACTGCTACACGTTCTCCATGCAAGCTCTGCACGGGAGACCTCAGCATAGACCTCACCATTTCCACGGCAGTGTTTTACAGCCTCAACACAACTAATAGTTTCCCATTCAAAATAACAAAGCCAGCTCAGCAACACTCATACACCTTGCAATAGGCACACACAGACACAGAGTGCAGGAAAGCAGTTCAATAGCCCCTCCAAAAGCAGCTGCAGCCGCCACACAATGGGTCCAGCGCGCGCAGACCCCAGCCCCCAGCCGCGTGTCTGGCCTCGCACCGCTGCAGCTCCCGCATTCAGGCCATGACCTGCCTCCCAGCAGAAATTTAAAGCTAAATAACCCCCAGGAACTCAAGTCAGGGTGAGTTTTGCCATAAAGCATAATGATTTCAGAGGGAAGCGCAAATGCTCTACAGTTTGTAATGCAGGAATGAAGGACACGGGGGATGCAAAACACCCTCATGTTTGAAAATGTTTGTAATATCTAGGTAAAATATAGCAGATTCATCTCCACATTTTGCGGCCATATCCTTTGCACCAGTGCTTTGTTTATCAGGTAACTGGGAGAAGCACATAAAGCACATTTTCCCTGTAAAACACTGCTTCATTTACGCTGATTGCCCCCAAATTTTACTTTGAGGCTACACATGGTTCCATTTACTTAACCGCTCTGCTGCCATCTCTGCTTCGGACATAAGTGTAACCAGGAGGCACACCTGACTGCAAAGACCCACACAGACAGCGAGGCTCCCCCTGCATCACTCATTTCATTGCTTAGAGAAAATGGGCTACAGGAAAAACACTCAAAAACGCACCCAGCCTTCAATATTATTTACACTGCTCGTTCCCTGGGATACAAGTACATCTGCAAGAAGCTCTGAACTTGTAGCTAATCTTTCAGTATTACAGCAAATGTAGGAGCAGGACAGATTATTATATCATTAGAACCTGTCAAGCCCATTAATTGCCACAGTGTTTTATCCTTGGGGCTCCCACACTGTGCTGCTCAGTGGAGCTCTCCCCACCCTCTAGAGCTTTAAGGGTCCCTTAACATCACCCTCGCAGGTAAAAACACTCTGCAGCAGCAGGGTGCTACCAGCAGAAATCAAATCAAAATCAATTTCAAAATAAGCACAAAAATCTCCCATTTGTGACTGCTGACATGGCCTGGAGAAGGCTGCTGGAAAAGTGTCTGCTCGTCAGCTTTTCAGGCCTCCCTGGATGCCTTCAAGGTTGCAAACAGATGGAAAATTCACACAGTAAGGAAAAACCTACAGGAAGCTCTCAAAAGAAAAGGGAAGAAAAGCAGCAGTCCTGCCACATTCACATTTCTAATAACTATCCAAGTCCATCTGGCTGTGCTTGAAACAGGTCTTTCTCAAATAGTAGATCACAGCAGGGCGAGGTAAGCCGGGGTGATCCTCCAGTTTATATATTAAATTCAGCGTTGGTATTAGAAACAATTTCCATCCTTGCCACAGAATAATCACCCCAAACCCTGCAAATGAACTCCCTTTTCCTTCCCCATCCATCCTATCAGACCCTCCCCAGTGCTTAAACATGGGCTTGTCTCCAGAGGCGCCTCAGAAGCGGCGGGCACTGCACCAGCCGCTGCAGCGCCATCGCCTGGGACTCAGCTACCATCTCAAGACGCTTTTGCAGAGTTTGTCATCAAGAACACAGCTTTCAAGAAGGGATAAAATAAACATATAGGAAGCTAGTTTAAGTACCACTGGTGCAGACACCAGCAGGGTGAT